ACACCTGGGGCCTGTCCAACCCTGCTCAACCTCCCCATCCAGTCCTGCTCAGCCCTCCCATCCCCAACCACACCTGGGGCCTGTCCAACCCTGCTCAACCTCCCCATCCAGTCCTGCTCAGCCCTCCCATCCCCAACCACACCTAGGGCCTGTCCAACCCTGCTCAACCCCCACTCCCAGCCCTGCTCAACCCTCCCCCGCTCCCCAACTACACCCGGGGCCTGCCTAGCCCCTCCAGCCCTACTCAACCTCCCCCTCAAGCCCTGCTCAACCCTCCCCTCTCCACCACACCTGGGGCCTCCCCAGCCCCGCTCAACCCCAACCACACCTGGTGCCTGCCCAGCCGTGCTCAACCCCACCCCCCCATCCCCAACCATACCTGGGGCCTGCCCAGCCCCTCCAGCCCTGCTCAAAACCCTCCCTCCCCCACCACACCTGGGGTCTGCCCAGCCCCTCCAGCCCTGCTTAACCACACCTAGGGCCTGCCCAGCCTCTCCAGCCCTGCTCATCCCATCCTCCCAGCTCCCACTCCAAACACTCCTGAGGACTGCCATCCCTCTGACCTTTCCCGTCCCACCCCCCTAGCTTCTCCACCACCAAACACACCTGGGAGCTTCCCCTCCCCTGCTCAGCCTGCCCTCCCCACACCCCTGGCCCTGCTCCGCAAACACATCTGGGGGCTACCCTTCCTTCCCTTGCTCCTCCCACCTGGCTGTACCCTGTACCCCCAAACGCTCCAGGGGGCTGCCCTGGCCCTCCTGCCCTGCTAAAACCCACCTGCCCAGCTCCACACCCCCAAACACCTCTAGGGGTTGCCCTCTTCCCCAGCCCTGCTCATCCCACCTGGCTGTGCCCCGCCATCCCCAAACACACCTGGGGGCTGTTCTGGCGCTGCTCAATCCCCCTAGCTGGCTGTGCCCTCAGTTCACTGCTGCCCAGCCCCCTACCTTCCAAACACACACGTAACTGGGGGCAGTCCTCCTCCATCACCACCACTGGAACAACCCCACCTAGCTGTGCCTTCTGCCCAGCTCCCATGCCCCAAACACGTACCCCTGGAGGCTGCCCTGCTCAACCCACACTACCTGGCTGTACCTTCAGCCAAGTCCTGCCCAACAATCCCCTGAAACACACACATATACATACCTGGGGACTGCTCCCCCCCCCCTTGGGCGTTGTCTGCTCTATTAGTCAAAAAACAATCTCTGCCAGCTGTTAGGCCTTGCCTGACACTCATCTGGGACTGCTCCTTATCCACATTCCAAGGAGTGTCTTGTTCTTCATAGATTCATAGATTCTAGGACTGGAAGGGACCTCGAGAGGTCATCGAGTCCAGTCCCCTGCCCGCATGGCAGGACCAAATACTGTCTAGACCATCCCTGATAGACATTTATCTAACCTACTCTTAAATATCTCCAGAGATGGAGATTCCACAACCTCCCTAGGCAATTTATTCCAGTGTTTAACCACCCTGACAGTTAGGAACTTTTTCCTAATGTCCAACCTAGACCTCCCTTGCTGCAGTTTAAGCCCATTGCTTCTGGTTCTATCCTTAGAGGCTAAGGTGAACAAGTTTTCTCCCTCCTCCTTATGACACCCTTCTTGTCCCAGCTCAGACGAGTGACCCAATTTTAAAAGTCACTTTCTGAATAACAAGGCGCTTTGTCCTTGCTCCCATCACCACAGATAAAGGGCATCTTATCTGCCTGCTGCCTGATAAGATGGCGCTTTCCGGATTACTGGGGAAAGTGGTAACACTTTTTAGCCATTGTTTCTACACTGCTAGTTGGATAATTTATTTACCGGTTCAGTACAGCTGAGGCTTTCTGGGGGCTACTCAGTGGATTTCTGGGAGCAGTGGGGGCCGTATACTGGAGTGCATTTATAGAATTGGGCAAAAATGTCTCACCCATAGCGCATGGCAAGATGAGCACTAAAATGATATTTCTTACGGTTTATGGCTTGTGGCACCATAAAGGCTACGCTTTTCATGATTCTCCTTCCCCCCCCCCCCGATATGGCTAAAAATTGAGATTTAAATAAGGTGAAAGTCAGCCCTTATTAGCATAATATATTCTATTATCTATATACTTAGCATAATATATTCTCTCTCTATAAAATCCTTTAGAGCAGTGGTTTTCAAACTTTTTTTCTAGCGACCCAGTTGAAGAAAATTGTTTGATGCCTGTGACCCAACGGAGCTGGGGATGAGGGGTTTGGGGTGTGGGAGGGGCTCTGGGCTGGAGGTGCAGGCTCTGGGCTCAGGCTGGGGATGAGGGGTTTGGGGTGCAGGAGGGGGCTCTGGGTTTGGGGGGGCTCGGGGCAGGGGGTTGGGGTGACAGACTTACCTCAGGCAGCTCCCAATCAGCAGTGCAGCGGGGGTGCTAAGGCAGGCTTCCTGCCTGTCCTAGCACTGCAGACTGCACTGTGCCACAGAAGCGGCCAGCATCAGGTCCGGCTCCTAGATGGCGGCGCGCAAGCGGCTCTGTGTGGCTCTCGCCTGCAGACACTTGTTCCCCCCCCCCAGCTCCCATTGGCCGGTTCCTGGCCAATGGGAGTGCAGAGCCGGTGCTCAGGGCGGTGGCAGCGTGTGGTGCCCCGTGACCCCCCCCCATCTAGGAGCCAGACTTGCTGCTGGCCATTTCCGGGACGCAGCGCAGTGTCAGAACAGGTGGGGACTAGCCTGCCTTAGCCGGGCAGCACTGCCAACAGGACTTTTAATGGCCCGGTCAGTGATGCTGACCAGAGCCGCTGCGATCCAGTGTCTTACATTTCCGACCCAGTACTGGGTCGCGACCAACAGTTTGAAAACCACTGCTTTAGAGATGATACACACAGCAAAATCACTTCACCCGCCACTAAAATGGAACCACCTCTGACATTAAAGATGGCGGCTGTTTAACAATGCATTGCAATGCTGCACAACAATTGAAAGAAGACTCGAATGTCCAATTGAACTTGCAGTGGGAATGGAGAAAAGTAAAATGTAATTATACACGCTCATATTTTGCCCAGTCTATGAGGCTAACAAACCTCCTCTTGTGAAAAGTCTAGTCTGACCTTTAGCATGAGTGTTCAGGAATTCGGCTTTGCGTCACGGTGGCCCTGATGCCATGTCGTTTAATACTCTTAGAAGGAAGAGCATGTTTACAACTTCCATGTCATGCAGTACCTGACTTTTAAAAAAAAAAGAACACATTCAAGTACTGACCAGGCCCGATCCAGCTTTTGTTGTGAGAGTTAATTAGGTAGTGGGCTGAGGTGGTCTAGCTACTGACCTAGTACATGGAGTCTTGGTCCATGAAGAGTAAATAATCAAGTAAAGAAAGAAAGAAATAACCCATAACCAAAATTGAGTTATGAAAGGGTTGTGAAATTCCTTTGGTAGCTACAGTAGTTTTTTGTAACCTTTATTCATTGTAATGATCTTAGAGCAGCTGCCAGTGTTTTAATTTTGTTGAGGGGTCTAGGTTGGGGTACTACCAGGGTAGTAGCATGTTCGTTCCTGCTTGCATTGAAGTTTTGCAGGCTCGCTGCACTGCATCAAAGACAAAAATCAATGAATACAAAATTACAAAGAAAGCAGAAAAAGAGAACCGGGGAAACAAACAAAAAGGGGTTGAAATTGAGAATTTCCTCTTTGGGAACTTAGAGGAAAAGCCCCTGGGGAAGATAATTCCATAAATTAATGTATTTGTTGAGAATTCACAACATGCTCCATGCTGTACGGAACACAGGACAGGTTTCTTGTCTACCTTGAGAAGTTTATAATCTAAACCTATTTCCTTCCTAAAAATTATTCTATTACAACTGTTTAGGTGAATTTAGTGCTCGTGAATGGTGCTGAATTATGTGACCTTCGGCTGAGACATGAAAGATGCTGGATTGGAAGTTCTGGAGCCTGAAGCTTCCCATTTACTACAGAACAGGTAGAGCATAGACAGTGTAAGCTTCCCTCACTCCCCCATCTATGAGTTTCAAATGTGACCTGGAAAGACCACTGTATGAACTGAGAGAATAGCTCAGTCTTTCTCACCTATTCCGTCCTTACATCTCTACTGAAACTGCCAACAGCAGACCCATCTGTGTTCACAGGTGTCCACATCACAGAAACGATCTGCTAGATAATGCACTGAGACCACCAACCAACCAACTGGTAACAGTCCTTCAGCACTATGAGCCTGGCAGAAGACTGAATCAGTAATCTAGAGATGAGAGGAAAGGTGGCAATTGCTAACTAAAATTAGAGATGTGGACTCAGAAATCACTTGCGAGGCCTGTAAAGAGAACTTACGATGAGGTCAGTGCTTATGAGCTAAGACATCTTTCTGGTGGCAAGAAAGGAGCACATTGATAGTGGGGACCAACAAAGGGAGATGCCAGCATTGTAGATAAAAAGATTGTTTTGATTAACGAAGCAACAGAGTGCTTTCTGTGATGTGAGACTATTTTGATTAGATGGGGTCCACTTAAGCAGAAGGAACCAGCTCTTTGCCGCTTTCTCAATTACGTTGCTTAGAAATGGAGTTTAGATCATGGGTGATAGCTGGTGAGTGATGGTCCTTGCGACTACTGCGTGTCTTAGGGTGGGTAATAGGTTGTTTCTTAAGAGGAGACATTGACTGTCTGTGGTAGAAAGGCAATCCAGAGCACCAGGGCCTTCACCAGCCCGGAAGAACATGGGTCAGTTTGTGGTAGTTTGGATCTCCTTCTGTGTTTCAGCAACTTCCTGCTGTGAGAATGAACGGGCTGAATTCTGAGAAGCATCATGTTCCATCTGGGGCTCTGTGGACAGCCTTCTATTCCTGGATCCATCCCAGAAGCTCAAGGTAGATGTCATGTTCACAGCCCACTGTTCTGATGTTGTTTCCTCAGGCCTGGAAAAACTATCTCAGATTTTTATCTCCCCCCCCATCCCCCAGTAGGGTGAGAGCATTTTGCAGCAGGAGTCTCCTTGAATCGGAGACTGATGGAAGGCAATCTGCATTGTTTAAGTGGGGCAGTATCCTAAACATTTCCACTGATTGACATTTTGCAGCAGCTGTGGCTGCGGAGAAAAAGGTTCTCTTGGTCTCCTTGAGAGCTGTGGCATAGAGTTGCTTAAACTTTTCATGCCGCGATCAAATTTAGTCTTACACCGCGGATATTCTAATCTTACCACCCTTGTACGGCATTTGTCTTAGACGTCATTGGTGATTGCAGGTGTTCCGTGTGGGTGAGGCAGAATTAGAGGACATTTAGGGGTCAGTCAGTTACTGGATGGGAACAACAGGTACAATTCTGCCAATCCATCAACAAGCCAGCGTTTCAGCTGGATAGGATTTTCCTCTGTTAGCAAAGGGGAGATTCATGACTATCCATGAATTTCAGGCAGGTTTCATGCTAAGAAGACATGAGCCACAAATCTCCACTAGCTATTTGGTGGGATCTCTCATGTTGTTCCACACCTCCAGAGTGACTAGAGACGGAAAAATAATATTTGTCTGTGGAGTGGCCCAGTCCATGAGGAAAAACCTTTGTAATGGGCTGGGAATGGAATGTATTGTCTGGATATTCTCCTCAGTTACACATTAGATGGTCTCTTTCTGATCCTCTTCATCCTCCCCCGGGCTATGGAAAAGTATGTCCTCTGTTTCACTCTTTCTGTTCATGCTTTCATTGGACTCACTGGGAGTGGCAGTAATACGTTTCAGAGAATCGCATTGTGCTACATTGTTCATGAAATAATCCTGCATGCACCAGATATATTGTTAAACACAGTAAACGTACACACTAGAGATCATCCAAACAATAAAAGCTTTTTCAACATTTTCAGAGTATAAAAATAATTTGAATAACCCTCAGATCAAGGCTGGGCTCGTCAGTGGATCCGTCTCGGTTTCACATACCGTACTAAGGAATAAAAATTGTACTTCGGAGGCGTCTTATCCGTAGAACCCAAACTAGAGAAGAGCAGACACAGCTAAAGTTCAGACTTAAACAGATGGAAGGAAACTTCTATAGTCATGACTAGCGGGATGATGCCAAAGGTTTTGCAGCCAATTTTCAGATGCTGCCCTTTTCTTCAGGGACAGCCATACCATGTTTCAGATAAATAACTGTTGTGTCTATTGCTCTTTGCACAACAAAATAATAGGTAGACACTACCAAGGCAGAGAGGGTTCCAAATAACTGGGTTTACAAAATGTACACAAACATGTGAGCCTAGCTACATATAGACAGGTTTCAGAGTAGCAGCCGTGTTAGTCTGTATCCACAAAAAGAACAGGAGTCCTTGTGGCACCTTAGAGACTAACAAATTTATTTGAGCATAAGCTATTGTGGGCTACAGCCCACTTCATCAGATGCATCGAATGGAACATATAGTAAGAAGATGTATATACATACAGAGAACATGAAAAGGTGGGAGTTGCCATACCAACTCTAAGAGGCTAATTAATTTAGATGAGCTATCAGCAGGAGAAAAAAAACGTTTGTAGTGATAATCAATATGGCCCATTCCAGACAGTTGACAAGAAGGTGTGAGGATACTTACATCTGACATCAGGAATCATAACATTCAAAAACCAGTAGGAGAACACTTCAGCCTCTCTGGTCACTCAGTAACAGACTTAAAGGTGGCAGTTTTGCAACAGAAAAGCTTCAAAAACAGGCTCCAACGAGAAACTGCTGAACTAGAATTAATTTGCAAACTAGATACTATTAAGGGGGAGGGATAGCTCAGTGGTTTAAGCATTGGCCTGCTAAACCCAGGGTTGTGAGTTCAATCCTAGAAGGGGCCATTTAGGGATTTGGGAATTTAGTTGGGGGTTGGTCCTGCGTTGAGCAGGCGGTTGGACTAGATGACCTCCTGAGGTCACTTCCACCCCTGATCTTAGCTTGGGCTTGAATAGAGACTGGGAGTGGCTGGGTCATTACACACATTGAATCTATTTCCCCATGTTAAGTGTCCTAAATCACATTGGGATTTAAGTGCCTAACTTTGAAAATGTTGGCCCCTTTCCTTATAAATACAAAGGGATAGATTTCATGTGGAATATTCCATAGTATATCCTATAGTGTATCCTATTCTACCATATAAGTAGACCTTATTCCTCAAGTCAACAGTGACTACTCAGAGGAAAGATGGCAGAATCTGGATCCACATAAATAACCACATAAAACAGGAAGTAGCAATAACCTTCACTCTTGCTTCACTTTTATAATTCTCAGTCTCCCATACCTCCAATTATTTATTGTCAGCCTTTGCTGTGCTCTGTCTCGTTTAGGGCCAGATGCTGACCTGCTACATAGGCATAACTCTGGAATGACACCACTGACATAAGTGAAACTGCTCTGGATTTACACTGATGTGAGATCAGAATGTCGCCGTACAGTTAGGAAGTTTTTCTTAATCTGCTGTGCTGTAGTTTGAACCCATCGCCCCTTGACCTGCCCTCTGTGGCAAGAGAGAACAACTTTTCTCCATTTTTTTTATGGCAGCCTTTCGGGTATTTGAAGACCAGTATCATGTCCCCACTTAATCTCTGCTGTTCCAAACTAACCGTACCCAGTTTCTTCAGCCTTTCCCCATATGGCTGCATTCCATCCCTTTGTTGCTTGCTTTCAATCCTTTCCAATTTCTCTACATCCTTTCCATACACTGGTGACCAAAATTGGACACAGTTCTCCAGCTGTGGCCTACCCAGTGCCGAGTAGAGCGATACTATCCCCTCCCGTGATTTACATGTTATGCTTCTGTTAATGCAACCTAAAATTGCAGTTGCCTTTTTTGCAACAGCATCGCATTGCTGACTCACGTTGAGGTTTTGATGCACCACAACTCCCAGATCCTTCTCAGCAGAGCTGCTACCAAGCCAGTTATCCCCCGTTCTGTATTTGTGCATTTGGTTTTTCTTCCCTAAGTGGAGCATCTTATATTTGTCTTTATTGAATTTCATTTTGTTGTCGGTAATCCAGATCTCCAATTTATGAAGATCCCTTTGAATTTTAACTCTATCCTCCAAAATGTTGGCAACCCCCCAAGCTTTGTGGCATCTGCAAATCTGATCAGTCTGCTCTCTATACCTACATCCAGATCATTAATAAAGATGATAAATAACACCAGACCCAGAACAGATCCCTGTGGAACCCCACTTGAGACCTCCCTCCAATCCTGCATCATTCCATTCATAGTTACTCTTAGTTTGCGGTTGTTTAACCAGTTATGTATCCACTTAATGGTAGTTTAGCCAAGCCCACATTTCTCCAGTTTACTTGCTACATGTTAATCATGACAGGACAAATCCAGGTGTCCTTCCTCAGGACCTTTGCTATTCAATTCTAAGCAGACTTTTTCATCAGAAAAAGATTTTCAAGATGCAAAGGGTCATGCGGGTGCAAAATGCAAAACCCTCCTCTAATGCCGTTAGTGCTTTCTGAAACATAGCATACATGACATATAAATAGCCTAAGCACATGGGATGGGAGCCACCTGCCTGTCTGGAATGTTCTAGCCCCAGGCTGATACCCTTGCACATGATCTGGTCATGTAACAAATATAAATGCTTTGGGGACTTCATTGGTGAATTTATAGACAAGCTCTTAGAGCAAGACAAAAGTCAGGCCCTTCCTTCTTGGCTAGTAAATTTAATGTAATAAATTTACACGCTAGTAAATTTCACATATATAAATAAAAGTAACATGAGAACATTTAATTCTGTCAAGGAAATGGAGGAGGAACAGGTGGGTGGGTTCTGACCCATCATATGCATCAGCACTAGAGCTGTAAACACACTGCTATATGTGATGCTCTTTGCCCAGATAAACAGAAAAGGTCTTTGAGTAACTTAGATCACCAGGGTGAGATTTGCCTTCTCCTGAGGGCTGAGGAGCAATGCGAGTAACCCAATGCTGAATACAAACTTCAAGTGTTCTGTATTTGCTGTCTACACAAAGTCAGTGAAAACCGCTAATACTCGGATTTTCTGGATGAGAAGTTTGAGTACTGACAGCCGTCCAGGTAGCTGATCTTTGAGCTCATGCTTCAGTCCCACTTCAGATGGATTACTTGAGAGTTCCGCTGGATTTTATATAACACGGGTTGTTCTTTGTATTCTCACAAATGCAGTTCAACTGGTTTGGTTTAAAGCGACAAAGCTCATGCTCCAATACGTCTGTTAGTCTATAAGGTGCCACAGGACTCTTTGTCGCTTTTTACAGATCCAGACTAACACGGCTACCCCTCTGGTTTGGTTTAGTTACCATTTATTTCCATTATGAAGGAGAACGCTAAAACCTAGTGTCACAGTTTCAGGGTAACTGAATCCACCCCTCAGTGGTCCACTCCAGGAAAGTCCGGTCAGGTCTCAGGTCTCCAGCCATCACCTGTCTCTGGGAAGGGACCCTTGTTCCACACCCTTCTGACCAGGGATTTTAAGGCCACACAGCTCCTGGCCTTACACTGATATCCCCAGCAAGCCAGTCTGCTCAACGTCCAGCGCCTGTACTTTGTTCTCTCTCCAAGGGCTATGAAGAGCAGTGATGAGTCACCACACAGCTCTTTCTAAGCAAGCACATTCTAACCCTAACCCTAATAAAAACAATGAACAGATTTAAACACACACTAAGCATACCAGGAGTCACCATCAGTCTTATGGTGCCCTGGTAAAGTCTTTCCAGCCCTTCTGCAAGACTTGGGCCCCCCTTGGACAGAAGGTCCTCATAGAATATCAGGGTTGGAAGGGACCTCAGGAGGTCATCTAGTCCAACCCCCTGCTCAAAGCAGGACCAATCCCCCCAACTCAATCATCCCAGCCAGGGCTTTGTCAAGCCGGGCCTTAAAAACCTGGTCCTGTCCGTTTGCTGTGCAGAAAGAAGACCCCGAGTTAGTTCAAGCTCGTACTTTTATACCAAACCCCTTTCTTCGTCTCCTAGTCTCCGGAAAACACAGCTTGAATCAGTCTATGCAAACCACCCCAGGGCTGGAGTTTCTCAGGAGTCAATTACAGACTCAGGGGTAGCCACCCTCGACTGTTTTTAGCTCCTGTAGAAGTTGTGGTTACCCTCCCCCATGGAGGAGAACACAGTCTGACATCAACCCAATCATCAGTTTAATCTAGAGAGACAGCTTGGTGTTGCAATATCTGTCACACCTAGTTCCATGTGACTGTCTCCAGCATTGGTGGAATGCAGTTGGGGAGCTGTGATACATTCAGGGGCTCTGTAATACTTCTATTTATTCCAAGACATGCTCTTTACTTATAGTTTTACTCAATGACATTGCTGAAAGTTTAAATAAAAGGAAATTGAATACAGAGGAGCTGATGTTCACTATAATGTAAACCTACAAGAGCAAGGACATCTGGTGGTAGGGCCTCCAGTGTCTTCCATACTCATTGGCATGGTTTGGCTTATTTCACCTACCATACAGAGAAGCTTGAGGGAGAGCAACGTCTTTGCTTTTGTGGGTTCACAGCACAAGCATGATTTCAGTGTAGAACTATTTTACCGATCCCACAACAGTTCTCGGCACTTCCCTGAAAAGAATAGATCTTGTCCTGACACGCTCAACAGCTAAACGGCGGATTTGACAGACAAGTGAGGACACGGGTTACCCTCTTGTAATGATGCGGTTGCTCAGTTCAGGCACTTCATTGCCTTTCCCAAGGGATGCGTTTATTGTTCAGCCATAGACACAGTTCCACATCGATCAAAGCCACGTCTACGCCAGGATGTTTTACCACTGCCAGCATTGCAATATCACGAGAGCATGTGCACACTTGGCTCCCTTCGCTGGTGGCACATTTGCATTGGTCAGGGGGTTGAAACACCAGTAGTGATCCTGGAACCTAACCCGCCCTTTGCTTCCCTAGCTCCTGAAACTGCGGTGGGCACTGAGCCAGCAACAAGGAGAGATTTAATCGGCGTCCGAGCAGGTTCAGGATGACAGTGTACTGTGCATTTGGTAGATGGTAAGGATGTTAACCAGGCTGGATCTCACCAAGGCAAATATCCCGATGGTTGTCGCTGCACGGTGTGTTTTACATAATATCCGTAAAGCAAAGGGGGAAACCGTCGCTGGCAGGGTGGGGGGAAGTGGAAAGGCCGTCTGCTGACTTTGAACAGCCGTGACTCAAGGGCCCATTGTGGCGCTGGGCAGTTGAAGAAGGCCTTGTGCTTTGACCGTGCCCCATCCTCAGGCAGTGTGCTGCTTTGTGTTAATTTGTATCCTTTTGTGATTCAGCAGTAGTTGGCTGGCGTCTGAATTGTCGATTAACGGTTTTGGAGGTTGCGTGGCTGTCTTGCAAGACCAAATAAATACATCTTGATTGTCCCCGACTCAGAGCTCCAGAGGTGACCGGCGAACATGCCCTTCCTTGACCTTGTCTTCTTCCTTCTGCTCAAGGTCAGTTTTTCAGCAGGTGCAGAAGGGGTACCCCCGTTGAGGCCACTGCTAACAACAGGCCAGACAGACATTGTTAGATTTAAAGAGTTGGCAGATAGGAAAAGAGAGAGAAAAATCTCCCTAAAAGGCTCCCATAAAGATCTTAATAAAACAATGAACAGCATCAGGCTAGCTTCAGAGCCGCTGACTTTAGGACAGGTCAGCAGTTCCCAGCCTGGTGAGTGCATAGGGGGCACTTTTCAAAACCTGTAACCCTGAGGAGTGGGGGTGGGGGTCGGCCAGGCATCCCAGCTAATAACTGGAGGGACAGCGCGGTAAATATTGCCAAACGTATTACAGGCAGTGGTGATTCTGGCCAGTACACACTCCTGTGGGTGCCATAGGCGGCCGCACTCCTCCTAGCGCTGGTGGAACTCCTTGCAGGGCGGTGTGAGAAAGTTGCCTATGGGGATGGAAGAAACAAAGCAGCCCTGCTGAGAAACGTTCAGGCAAATCTCAAAGGCCTTGGCTACACTGGCGCTGTACAGCGCTGCAACTTGCTGCGCTCAGGGGTGTGAAAACGCCCCCCTCCCCGAGTGCAGCGCTGTAAAGCGCCAGTGTAATCAACGCTTGCAGCGCTGCAAGCTCGCTCGCAGCGCTGCAAGCTATTCCCCTCGGAGAAGTGGAGTACTTGCTTGTTCTCTCGCAGCGCTGGTGGCGCGACTACACAGCGGCAGCGCTGTGAATTCTCACGTGTAGCCAAGGGCAAAGCATTCC